GTTTACTAAGCTTAGGCAAAGGTGAAGCTCGGCAACTTGTGAATCTCCATCACCTATAAGATTAGGGGATTAGCAAAGTAAATAAAAAGGGGAAGAAGTTACCCTTATCAAACCCCGAAACAAGTAGGCGAGGGGTTGACGTAGTTCGTCGTAGCTCCTCTTGAAGGTTCAACTGGAACGGAAGAAGTCTCTTCCAAGCATTGAAGTGTTGAATGTAGTGATCCTTTGCTTGCCTTGAAGAATCCTTTGAGAAAAAGAAGTTTCCCTCACGAATTAGAGTAGGAGAAGGCAAGAGGGTGGTGGTCGGCCAAGGGGAGAAGAACAAGGTGTAAAAGTTTTGACTTCAGATTTTGAATGAGTAGGTGGAGGGAAAAATAACTTGGAAACGAATCCTCAATCAATATCTTGTGGTTGAAATTAATTGAGGGAGAGAAAGGGGAAGGAGGGGCGGCGGGATTGAGAAGGGAAGGAGCTTTATTTCTTATCACACATAGAAGTTTACTTAGGGAAAGAAATCAAGTAGGAGGAGGCTTGGAAATTTCAGCCAAGTGTGGGGGGTGGGAATTTGGAAATATTCTAAAGAGGAGAATTGGGTTTTAGGAAAGGATTCCAAAACCGAATCCTAAGGGGGCCGACGACATTAAAGGTCTAGGAGGGAATAAAGGGGAGGGATTAAAGGTTTCCTAATTTTGGTTTAGGAATTAGGAAAGGTTTCAATTAATTCCTCATGAATTTGAAATTCAAATGGGTTTATATTTAGAAACTTTCCTAAAATAAGTTCCCGTAAATAAGGAAAGAAAAATTCAAATTCAAATTGTTTGAATTTTGAAATTGGATCTTCCCAAATCAAGGGTATTTATTTATGGAAATTATTCAAACAAAGATTTGAATTTTGGAGGGAGGGGAAGGAAGTTGAGGCCGGCGGCTAGGTGGGTGAGCCGTGGGTGGGGTGAGGGGAGAAGGGGTCGGGTAAAGGTGGAAGGGGAGTTAGGTTTAACCAATGGAGAGGGGGAGTTGTATGGTGGCCGGCGACTTAAGCCAATGGGGAGGAGCTCTAGGATGGCGGCTAGTTGAGGGAGGAAAGATGGGAGAAGAAGATAGAGAAGGTAGAACCACGAACCCGTCTGTCTCCAAGGTTGGTGGGTGATTCGATTTTCCCTCTCTTAGGGATTTCTCCAAAGCTCTCTCCAAGAACTCACAAACACTCTCAAAACACACAAGTGCAAGAAGTTTTCATTATACTCATTCATTCGTTAACTTTTAAAGAGCAACATGAGGGCTATAAATAGCCTCGTATAAAAAGGACTCAAAATAAGAAAGACGACAATGCCCTTAGGGCTTACATACGACCTACCTTAAGTAATGGATAACACGGGAAAACAATTAAAACATAAATAAAAAACAAATAACATAATAAAAGACAAGTGCATCAAATAACTCAAAAATATATCGACGCGATCGTGGCCGTAGATCGACGGCCACGCTTCTGATATATGACTCATGCTCTGATGTCCCCATCAGGGGGGTTGGCTGAAATTGATGCATTCAAAATCTTATCATTATATGTTTTATATGTTTTATTGCTCTATTGTAGACTAGATTCTATTTTCCCCAATGATGGAAGGCTACCTATGATCATGCATAGGTTTGGGGGCTCTTTGGTCATGTTGACCATGTGGTTTGCCAGCTTACTTTGTATTTTGGGTATTTATTGGTGGGCTTATATTTCTATATATGGGCTTGGCCTATTATTTCCTGTTGTTTGGTGTTGGGGCTTGGTCGACTGATTCCTAGTAGCTGTTTGGTTCATGTTCCATGACTTTTTGGTTCTTGTTTTTGGGCTGTTTGGCTCTTCAGTTCCTGTCCCGATTTCTAGTTCCTTCTGAGGTGGGCTGTTCGGTTTCTGCATGGGGGGCTGGCTTTTGGTATGCTGGTTGCTTGGGTTCTGTGCTGGCCGAACCTTTTTTCCTTCTGATTTTCTCTGCTTTTTGGTTGGCTGGAAGGGGCGGCTGCTTTTGGTCTTTTGGGCTTCTTTCCCTATTTATATGGGGTGATGGCTGTTGATAAAGTGTGTTATGGAGTGATTTTTGGAACTAAAACCTGAGGGTTTTTGGATAGCTTGCGAGCTCTGTATCCCCTTCTCTTCTCCCCTCTATAACTTCGTCTCGGGCTTCTTACCTATCTTTTCTCTCCGCAAGTTTCCACCCCATTTGTATATTTCTTCTCTACAGAAGGTTTGAGGTGTTTTTGTTAGCCAGTTGGTTGGCATTAATCAAGTTTGTTGTGGTGGACCGCTGGTTGGCATGTTCCTAAAGAGCACTCTAATTTCCTATTTTATCGGTTACATGTGAGGTGACCAATAGTTGGTTATTCTGAGGGGATGTTCATTTTAATTTTTGTTTTGTCGAGTCTCTCCAAGCTTTTAAATATCGTGTAAGTTGTAATTTGTGTCTTTGCAATATTTTCTTGTTGCATCATGTGTGCTCCACCATATGGAGAGATGAGGTAGGTGCTTCCGTGTTGACCTCTAACCATCCACAGCCAAATCAACCCACAAATCGTCAACCCACGACCCCACGTCGTCTCATTCCCACGTTGAAGCAACCGCTGCCTCAGTCGTATAAATAGAATGGAGAAATGACTGAATGGAGTACGCTCACTTACGACCAGTTTTGTATTGAAATAGTCGAGGGTGAAATTTAATTGGTTTGAATGGAGAGAACTTAGTTGTGCATTTCACCAAGCATGAGAAACCAATTTACTACTTTGTGCTTATGCTTTTGTTGATTATCATGCTTGAATTTGGTGTTATAATTTCTCTTTTGGGGGTTGATTGAAGTAGGCCACCCATTCCTCTCCTACTCTCTATCCATAGAAAATGGTGGTGGTTGGCATGATGATTTTAGATGTCCATTTTTTCTTTCTTTATCTCTTTCACATAGAGAGACACTAAGGTGTGCCATAACAAAGAGATTGTGAGTATGGTATGCCCATAGAGAGAAATGGCAGTGGATTAGAAAAACAACTCTTAAATATCAAGTGTCTCTCCATGCAATCCTCTCTATTTTACTATTCACATAGAAGAGTACCTTAATAAGTAATGGATATATTGATTGAAGGGATATCATAATTGTAAATCTTTCCACCCACTTGCTACCTTTTCACATGAGGGAAACTATCCATTTTCAAGTTTGTATTTTTATCAGGTTTGCTTTCTTGGCTCACATTTTATCTAATGTTGATGATGTACTTGTTTGCAGTCGCACCAAGAAATTCCCTCAATGCTATTGCCACATCAGAGTGTGATCCACCGTCTTCTTTTTTCTCCCTGTTTAAACAGAAGTTGGATGAAAGGGTAATTCACCAATAATCTCATTAAGCTCTCAGTGTTTTGAGCTCTTTGGAATGACTTTCATTTTGTTTTGATCAGGCAGGTTCTGCATCTACAAGCAAGATTTCAAGTGCCAATCCTTGCCAGATTAATGAAGGAACGAATTTGTGTCATATGTCTTCTCAAGCTACTTTACCATTAACTTGCATGGAATCCTCTAAGGAGAAAAAAAGTCATTTCAATGCAATTTGCAGTAGTATCCAAACTTCCAGTTTTTATGCCCCATGCGCAGGAAGAAGATTTTCTAAGAGGTAACTATTTACTTTATAACCATCATTTAGCAACTTCTTGTTTTCTTGGCAATAAACCAATGACAAGTGCTTTAACTGCGCAAGTTTGCATGTATATCGTGAGTGTATATTTTCAAGTTTATACTGTTATAATAGTTGTATTCATTAACTAAACTCAACATCAATTAGATGAAAATTAAGTGAAATTTAGCATTGCTTCCAAAGCGTTCAAATCAAGGTTGATTTTTTTACTGTTTTTTAACTTAATAATATGTTGGAAATATGTGTTGAGTCAATGTAATTAGATGGCTTTGCTCATAAATTGAAAACCTTATGGCTTTTGAATTAAAATGGTGTAGAGTTTGATTTGTTTTAACTTTGTTAGCACTTTTTCACAACAAAGGAGATGCATGGTCCCTTTAAATGGAGGCCAGATATCCCTCCCACATATGGTGACATGCTTTCCACCAATTAGCAAGAAAAACCACCATTTTCTTCATCTCTCTCCCTCTCTCTCTCTCTCTAAACCACTCATGGGGAGGTTTTGGAGAAAAATGGGAAGATGATGCTGAAGCACTCTTTAACAATGTTGCATTGAAATAGTTGTTACGCCTATGCCTAAGGTTTTACCTTAGCATCATAAACCACCAATTTGGAGGGCTCTTAGTTTTCACATAGCCCATGCCTACCATTCTTAGGTTGGAGGAGTCCATTCTACATCGATGTTTTGATGCCACTGCCTATTGTTTGTAGTTATTTCTTAGTCATTGTAGAGCTTAGACCAATGCTGCATTCATGCCCATCATTATGGTGTGGATGGGAGGCCACACATGCTTAGGTGCCACATCATCATGCTGGTATATTTAACACCAAATTATCAATAAATTGGTCAATCAAAACACGTGGGTCCCTCTTGACATGTGGCTTGCCATGGCGTCAGGATCATTGGTTGTCTTAAAAAATCCATACAATGTCTCCCTTTTTTAACAAAACAGATTGTTTAAAAATACAAAAAAATAAAAATCCCAACAGCAAAGTTTTATTCATATTTAAGTCGTACACAAATTAGTTCCATTTCATGTGTCCCAACAGATATATATATTTAAAGCATTTTTTTAATGTTCTGAGTTGGGGTGGCTGTCCTTGTATTTATGTGGTTTTGAACTGCCTTTGATTTTTCCTTACATTATCTCCAAAATCATCATTGATCTAGCTTAGGATAAATTCTTAAGATGCAGTTTGTTATTTTTTCTAGATTGAAGCTTTCTGAAGGAAGGGATGCATTGATTTGGAGGGCAAAGAAAGTATGGCTTTTTATCTTCTATGCTCTGCTTTCTATTATTTAAGTTTTAGCCTTTTAGGTTATTTCTGTGTCGATTAACTAGAAGCTCTCTTGCCCGTGCTTCTGAAATTACTCAAATAACACAGAACTTCTGAATCATGGTTAGAGTCATAGTAGAGTAATATGGTTATTATATATTAAACATTTCTCTGTTTCTTTTATAAAGTGCTTGTTTTTCTCACATGTTGGCAGGCTTGTGAACTGAACAGCACCATGTTATCGTAATGTTCTTATTTACAAGTGGCCTTGTTTGTTTGAACTCATGCTGCATTTATATCATGCATGCTTAACATATTAACCTATCCTAATGTCTTTCTCAATTTTAACCTGTTTCATCCTTAGTGTTCTTAGGATTTTCTTTGAGAGTGCTCCAATATCACATAAAATTTGGTCAAATAGGTTCCATGTGGATTGTTTGCGCCCCCTTTTTGGAATTTTGCCATTCACTGTACACCTTGCATTCTTTTTAGGCTGTGAAATAGCTAAGACGCTCTACAAGAAGGAACTTTGATGTAGAACTAAATGCGGGAGAAATTATGCAATGTTAAAATTACACGCCTTTTGAATTAGAGCAATAATAATTACGTTAGCTTCTAGTGATTTAAACTATTATTAAAACAATTGAGAGATGATTAAAGTTTAGGCCAAACTACATGTAATTGTTAGAATCATGAATAATCAATCATAATCAAGATTAGCATAGCATGAAGAATTTTCAAAGGAAATCCCTGATTTAGCAATAATATTAAGCACTACGGGATCCTACTCACTTGCACTCTTGAAATTGGTTAGACAGAGATACGTTGCACAACCCTTTAGGACGCCACAAATTGATGGGAAGACTTAGAAAAGAAAGAGATTTGGAGGAGGAATTTGATAGGAAATACTTGAGTTCGCAAGTAATCCAAGAGGAAATACTTGAGTTCACAAGCAACCTTAGCAATAATTGATAAAAAACAGTGAGAAAACACACAAGAACGTGATGAAATCAATCCAAAATCAATGGATTATATTAGGTAAATCCAAAGCAAACGAACACAAAGCGAATGTACAATTGATCCTCAATTCGAGAGGATCGTTCCTCCCAATCTTTAGAAGAAGTTCTAGAGCCCAAGACACCAAGAAAAATACTCCAAAGAACACAATAATCATGCATAACCATAACCCTAAACAAGCCATACTATTAATATATTAATTTCCTAATTCAAACATCCCTAATTCAAACATTCCCTCTGACCCTAGCCGCCCAATCCACTCTCCTCCAATTGCTCCTAGTGGGACCCACTAGTGTGGGCGGCAAACTCCAAAGGAAGAAGAACATGTTCGCCTCCTATAGACTTGAGCCGGCTGGGCCGGTTCAGGATGAACCGGCCTAACAAAATTTAACTTGATCAATATTTAGACAAGATCTGGCACTGGACGGAAGAGAATTGTTCGTCAATAGCGGCGGCGAGGGTGAAGACGATCCTCTCAACGTATTTTTCTACGATTTGATCTATCTCCAAGTTGAGGTCGAAGAATGGTGATTTGAGGACATCAACTTGATCTTGATCGTTGTAAACAAACCTGTGGTCACGTTCTGGATCCGCCATACATGAGTGGACAGCTACTAGGAGGGATCGGATTTTAATAAAGCATTTTAAAATGAGATGATGATGATCCTCCTAATTTTAATAAAAGCATTTTAAAATGCTATTGAGCTTTGACTAGTAAGATAAATGTTATTATCTTTATCATTCAAATAAAAAGGTCTGATGTTGTATTCAAACAAAAAGGTGATATTTAAATTACCCAACAAATGCTTAAAATGGTAATCATTTCATGGCTGTCTTTTTTGTGTTAAATTTACATGTCAAAAATAAATTTTATTTTCAATATCTGTTATGACTTCATGTGTTGGTGCAATATCCAATTTCCTCTATGCCCGACACATGTTTGACATTACATTCTGTTTGGCCGGCCACTCATGGGCCGGCTGGACCGGTCCTTACTTACTCCAGGCGGGCCCCACATGGGGCGGAAATGGGCAAGGTTACTTGCGAATTCAAGTATTTACTATCAAATTAGTATCAGAGCGTTGTCTTGGGACCCTTGGAGGCTGAAAAAATATAATTTCAGCAGTTTTTGCTCACACAAAAGAATTTTTTTTGGTACCTCATTGGAGGAAGTATGGCCGGAGGGAAAGTTGAAGTCTTGGAGGGAGAAATAGGTCAATTGAAGACAAATTTTGAGGAAAAATTTTCAGATTTTCAAAGTCAATTTGTGGTCATTCATGAAAAGATAGATGAAAGCTTCGCCATTTTGGAAGATTTGATGAAGAAGATGCTTGAAGACAAACAAAAACCAGCAACATCATAATCGAAGGAGACCACCGGGGTCCAGGGAAGGGGAGGTCTTCCGAACCCATTTAGGGGGAGAGAATATCCGGAAGTGGAGGTTCTCGAGGGAGAGGATGAAATGCCTCCGCTAGAATCGCTTTCTAGGGAGGAGATGAGCATGGGATATGAAAGGAGGGGCGCTGATTTTGTTGGAAGAAGGGAAGAAGTCTACCGTCGGGGTGCTGATTTTGGAGGACGGAGGGGGGAGTACGATGAAAGGTTTGGGCATAATCGCATGAGAGAGGACCGTGAAAATTGGGGAGCACCTCCCTTTCGGGGAATGAGAGGTTATGGAGGATTCCGGGGGAATGGGGGTGATCCAAGGGTGAGAAAACTGAAGATGTCTGTCTTTGAGTGTGAGGGCAACCATGACTGGATCTACAAAGTGGAACGATACTTTGCCGTCAATGGGTTGACAAAGGAGGAGAAGCTGACGACGGCAGGATTGTGTTTGGAAGGAAAGGCACTTGCATGGTATCAATGGCGCGAAAGGAGGGAGCCCATCTGAAATTGGAGGGAGTTCAAAGAATGTTTACTAGAACGTTTCTGAACTGAGATGGGAGGAGACTTCTATGAGCAGACCATTGCCTTGACTCAGGAGGGGACCGTAGCCGACTACCGTGACAAATTTGAGTTTGGCCAGCAGATTGTATCATATCTCAGAGACAAAACTGGAGAGAAACTTTATGAAAGGGTTCAAACCGAAGATACGAGCAACAGTCAGAGTCTTGGAGCCAAGGAACCTGGGGAAAGCCATGGAGTTGGCACAGCTGGTGGAAGAATAAAGGAGGATGGAGAGAGTGGCTAAGGGAACCAACTCAGGGGGGTCGTATAGGATGACCACCACCTTTTTACCCCCAGGGACCAGCGCTAGGGAGCATGAAGGAGGTGCCCAAGGAGAGAGCTGGAGGGAAAAATTTCAAGAAACTGACCGAGAAGGAGATACAAGAGAAGAGGGCAAAGGGGTTGTGTTTCAGGTGTGATGAGAAGTATATGTCGGGGCATAGGTGTAAGGACTGAATTCTTCAGGTTCTCACCGTCTGTGATGATGAGGAATCTGAAGAGGGAGGTGGAAGCGGGCTAGAATTGGGTTAAAAAAAATGGGTTTGTTGGTCAACATGAACCCGTCACGTATAGTAAAAGGGTTGAAAAATCCAACATGAAACTGACCCGTTCATTAAACGAATCAAACCGAACCTAAATATTTTGGGTTGGGTTCACGGGTTGGGTCATTGTTGGCACTGCTACTTGTTGTTGCATACTGTCATGCAAAATATGCAATATATGGACTTGATTGATGGCTATGCAAGCCAACAACAATTAAGTCCTAGAAATGGACCAACTTATAAGACATGCAGGAAGACCAATAAAAAGTGATTGACATAAAAAGGAGGTTAAAATTTACAACATTTTTTTTTCATGTAATAAACCTTGGACCTTTGCTATTTATTTTGTAGCATATTGATAATTTAGAACTCTACTAAAAAGGCTTCATCGAAACATTCAACTGAAAATTTAATGGAGTCTACATCCATTTTAACTACCTACACCTTTAGAAGTTTAAGTTGATCAATAGCACCCAATTTACCTGGTGGTCATGGTATAGCTCAAGATGGAATTAAACAAAATGAATACATTAAACATGCCCACATCATTCTGTTTCTGATGATGAATATTACCTACTAAAAAGTCTATTATTGTTCTTCAACAAAGGAGAACAAAATTTGAGAAGAACATGCAACTTGTATATTGTTTTTTAGTCAAGCGTGCTAATTAGCCAGAGTTTCTAAAACAGTAATCCAGAAAACTGTTGTTTGGTTGCTTATATTAATGAAAACACGCGAAAAAGAACCAATAAGTTTACACCTTTGTTAATTTGTGCTTGTTAATGATTTGTATTCCCTTATTTTTTTCCATTTTACGTTTCATGGAATTGCTTAATAACTTTTGTCAAATAAAATGACATTTTAGGCTGTGCTTGATCTGGCATTTTTGTAGTGGTTCTGTTTTGAACGTTGCTAATTGTTCATACAGGATCCTGCAACGAGGCAGCTTCGGGATGTGGTTCTTCTGGACGAAGAAGAAGTGCAACCTAAGGATCCAATCAGATATGCTTCTGATGAAAGGTATTCTATTTTCCTATGAATAATAGTAATGTGTTCTAAGTATTCAAGCTCTCCAGTTTATCAGTTGCTTCAGAATGGTCCTTTGTTTTGGCCTGCAATTAGTTTAATGGCTTCTCTTTCAGGAATGGAGCTAAGATGTATTATCCGTCAAGGTGTATCTCATAGACAAGCATTCAGCACCTCATGCAGAATCATGGCATAGAAAATAGCCTTGAAACTGATCTTTTGTTTGATGGATTTTTTTTTTTCTTGTACTCTGTTCTTGAAGGGATCATCCTGAGGCTGTTGAGCTTTTTTACTCAGACATGAAATGCCTGGAACCTGAACAGTATATATCATCACCTATACTGGACTTCTACATTAGGTGAGCAATCATCAATTTTTGGTTACCAGTTCATCTACGTTGTGGAGTCACTTGTTTAACTTTAAAGTATAGTCACTTGTTTTATTTTAAAGTATAGATTTCTCGAGCAGTGCTTAGTTTATCTCTATTGTGATTTAAAGTCTCTATTTTGAGCCATGAAAACAGGCTCTTCTCTATTGTAGGAGAAGGCCACCATTAAAGTCCCTAGTACCAATCCCATGCACTGAGTTTGCCCTTTATAGGATCATGTTGCATATTGTATTGGAAATGTTCTTCATAAAGCTGAATACCATCACAAGATTATTTCTTGGCATTTAGGTAAAATTACTTGTTACTTGCTCGCTTGCCTTCCTGCTATAAGAGCTGGAGATCGAATTGTGCAAGGGAGAAGCTGCGAACAAGGCAACGCGAGCGATTAGTTAGCAAGCTAGATGCATTGTGGTGTGCTTCAATTCACATTCGGTATTTGTGTGCAGTTGCAAGACACATGACGGACCGCGAGCGAGACACCTTGCGGGGCTGTTTGGATACAAGAAGAAATATGACTACCTTCACAACGAGCAAGCTCCCATCATTACTTCCAATCCTACAGAACGGCGAGGATGTGTTACTTCAGATCCGACATGAAGGAACGTTGTCGAAAGAGGCGAAGAAGTTATTCAGTGACTCGTTCAAAACTCTAAATCTTACATGAAGCAAAGTCGAAGAGTAACAAACATCTGGAGAAGAGGAAAAGCAAACCCTCAATTATAGCCAAACAACATAATAGACATTACTGAGAAATATAACATATAAACAAATTAATTTAGTTTAACTATTTTACTTAAAATTAATTAAGAATATAATGTAATTAATTACTTAGGTTAATTGATAATTAACTTAGATTTTAATTATATTATTTATAATGGTTAGTTAATAATGATAATTAAAATTAATAATTAATAATTAACTCATAAATAATTAAAATAAACCAAAAATATAATTAATAAGTTATTTCATAATTAAATTAATTTCTAATTATATTATTTTTGTAATTATAATTTATTGACAATAATTAAAATTAGGATTAATAAGTAACATTTATTTAAAATATCAATTAAAATTAAAACACAAATTAAATTTGATTTATTAATGAACTAAATGATATGAAACGAACTTGTGATATTTTTATTATATTTAAATGATTTGAAATTATAATTTTTATCATGTTAGATTTTGCTTTTAAAAATATATATATTTTTTCACTATTTATTCACTCTTATTATTATGTAGTTGATTAAATATATATTATATACTATAATTTAATAAATGATACAATTGAGCTATATTAGTAATGTTATTTCATATCCACTTGCAATACCTAAAATACACTTCATATTTAATTTTGGAGTTAACTTTAACTCTTATTTTAGGTTTTAGGACTAAATTGGCTCAATTTATAATAGTTGAGGGACTAAATTGGAGCAACACGAAACTCTGTGACTAAATTGGATATTTATCAATAGTCGGTGGACTATTTTGAGCTTTCATCAATGCTTGAATTTTGGACCTATCCACCTAACGCCCTGCCATTAGTTGTTAAAATTACAAATTGTTTAAGCTAAGATATGACTAAATTAGATGTAAAATTTAACCAAAGCACTAACTTAAAAAACAACACATTAGTTGCTCTTATTAATAAATAAATCTTATGGAAAGCTAAGATGCAATATATATGTTTTAACTTTGATGTTAGCTTCTATTTTGCTTGCTTATTATGCCTGATTTAACAAACCACTTGAACTTTTTAATTTGACTCTAATTGGGGTGTTCAAGGGCATGTTATGGAGTACTTGTTTGTGGCTTTCTAGAACTGAGAAAGGTTGGTTTGATGCGATTTCTACTTGAAGCATGTTACCATGCATGCTTACTCAACCTCTGATTTACCGTTATTGAGATTTCCCTCTAAATATATGTAAATATCTTAACATTGGCTTATAGTATTGTATGCTCGTAGTATATGTTTATGTAGGTATTTCAATTTTTAATAAAAGAACTGGGGAGTAATCACATTGCTCGTCAAAGGCATTTGCCAATAGAGAACGTGGCTCTTCTTGGTCAATCTGATCAAGAAGTCACCCCAGGTATGCATGTCAGGGGACTCATGTAAACTTGTCCAACCTCTACGAAATTATCTTGCTTAGTAGAAATTGATCTTCATAGGTCAGTCACCATCATTTTGGCTATCAGGCTATTACTAATATCCCCCGATCCATAATTACGAACCTTCAGATTCGATCAATCCTTAGTTTCTGGTTATCATCACCCAGGGGACTCGTCTGTTGCACTCAGAGGTTCATACACTATCTCCAAGGACTCGCTACCATCCAAAGGACTTACCCACAGACTCATCTTGTATGTTGTATCTTGAGGATTCACCATGAAAACTCGCCCTAGAATAGAGGGCCATGTCAGAGGCAGAGAGCCATGTGAGAGCCTACCAACCTAGCCATGTGTCTAATCTAGTCTATAATAGGTCATAATGAACATTGTACTTTTTGTTGTTTTTGTGTAACCTTCTCTATATCTCTCTAAACCCTATAAATAAAGGGTGAATATGCACATTTTTTGATCTTTTAGAATTCTTTGATCTTTTAGAATCTGGATACTTTCAACTACACTACTCATTGTGTTTTGATACAGATGGAAGAAAGACCCACCAAGATAATTCTAGACACACTAAGAGGTCTATGAAGAAACGCTCCAATGGTGTGCACTCCATAATGATCCTCTTAACTACGTTGTCTGCCATTAAAGATTGGAAACCAGGCACTTCGACGCTTAACACTAATCCCACTTGCAGACTCATCAGTGATGAAGAGTGCAACCTTCTTTTATGGCTAGTGAGAAGGATAGAACTCGGGCTAATCAACAGATTATTCAGGGAGATAATAGAGGCAAGCATCGCCTCCCAAGTTCAAATTGCATATCTTAGAGTCTTATAGGGGAAGGACTAGCCCCTTCGACCATGTCGCCTATTTTGAGTTGGCGACGTCATTGTTCGATGCCGATGATGTTTTATTTACCGTGTTCAAGGAATTTGCACTCTTGTGGTTGACTCGCTTGCCGCTTGGCATTATCACCTCTTTTTCGGAGTTCAAAAGGATGTTCATTGCTATATTCGTCATTGTTTTGGTCACTAATTACTAGATCAATATCATTCTCATTTATTTAGGGAGTTTTGTAGACATCGTTTTTAAATCTGCTTCTAAAAAAATGAACTTGCTTACTTCTCAACTTAATCCTACATCAGATCCCCTCTACAGCTTTGGTGAGTGCAGGGAGATTGATGGTGTGATTTCCCTTGTTACTTGGGGTGAGTGCGACCAAAAATACATCACCATGACCGACTTAATAATTGTGGATGTGTTGGCCTCCTATAACGTAATATTCGGGTGACCTGTTTTAAATACATTCAGAGTAATCATCTTGACATGCTACCCCCCGCAGGCAGTTGAGAGATCACGATGAGAGGCAACCACACCCATTTGCGAGCATGCTACATAAAGGCTATAGAGAAAGTGACAACTTTCCTAGAATAGGTGTTGTAGCTAGAGGTAGAGTGAGGATCATGGATGGAGACTACTGAAGCAGTAGAGGAAATCCTGAGAATAAGCGCATCATTTAGCCTGGCACATCAAGATGAGATTGTCCAAGCCCTTAGGGATGATCTCGATATTTTTTGCATGGATAATTGCATAAATGTCAGGTAAAAACATAGAAGTCATTTACCATAGATTGAAAATGAAGCGAGAGGCCCGACCCATCAAGCAAAAGATAAGGTAGACCACTATTATGCTAGGCGACAATCTAGCAGGAAGTTAGCAAATTGTCGATGCCGACTTCATATGAGAGGTGTAGTACGTAGGTTGGATCTCTAATGTCATCATGGTGTAGAAAGAAAATTGACAGATGGAGAATGTGTGTCGACTTTAACAACTTCAACTTAGCATACCCAAAAGATGGGTACCCACTCATAATTGACTCACTAGTAGATTCAACAATTGGATTCCGAGTGATGAGTTTCCTGGACGCTTTATCAGCCTATCATCAAATCAAGATGTGCTCGGGTAGCTGTTAGAATTTTTTTTTTATCATAAGGAAGTCAACACATGCTGGACTTAAAGGAGATGTTTGCCACACGAAAGGGAGAAATTGTTGAGTGGAGTGGAATCTCCTCGCTTTAGGGATGCTGGTAGGCCCCTTCTCCTTCTTTGGGGGAGGCCTCAGCTTGTTAGCCTCCATATCTCTCTTCTGCTTCTTGAGAGGTGCCTCTTTTGGACTCATCAATTGCTCCTCCTCTGCGTCCTTAGCCTTCTCTCCCTTAGTGGGAGGATCCTCATTGAGGAATTCAAGCACCTTTGGGTCATTGGGTTTTGACAGCTCAACACGCCACCAACAAAAAGTGCCAATCAGTATTAGGGCGAGCAAAGTTTTTTGATAATTTTTAGGAAAAAATAAGAAAACATTGCTTACTATAAAATGTGTCTTATATATGCCAAGGACTCAGATGATGTCTGCTTATTAATGTCTTTTATGTTAAAGCCACAAAAGCCTTAGCCTTGTCCTTGTTCAACTTGGGCAGTGATAGGAAACTCTTGTAGAATTCAAAAGTAAACCTAACAATGATTGATTTCAGCGATTGCTAACACAATTTTGAAAGAAAAACCAAAGTAAGTAGCAAAAATAACGTAGTATTAGCTGAACTCTCAAAGAACATAACAAGATATAGTTGATCCTCAATTTGAGAGGATGATATATCTCTCCTACTTCTTAAGCCGTCGCTTGAGCCTAAGCACACAAGAACAAGCTCAGGAAAATAACATGATACCCCAACACTAACCCCTCCCCTCTATTTATAGCATGCAAAACTAATCTATTCAAAACTAATCTCAATTCCTAATTAGCCGTTCTCCTAAATATGATCATACTTAAAACAGCACCCCCCCTTTCTCTCTTATTTTTTGTCCACTCTTGCCTAAATTCCCTCTTCATTTTTAAGCAATGGGCCCCACCAATCAGCCTCCCTCTCCCCTAATCAGAGCAACAAGCCTCCACCTGCTGTAGACCAAGGGCCGGCCCATTTGGTCAAGCTGGACCGATCTATCAGGCAATTTTGCAAAAAATGATCTTTTGAGGTCTCTCATCATCATTTAGGTTACCACTGACATCCCTTGATCCAGCTATAGGAAGCGCACACCCCAAAGGTTAATAATTACAACTCTTTAGACTTGATCAATCCTTAATTTGCGGTCATCATCATCCAAGGGGACTTGCCCCTTGCACTCAAAGATTCATAGATTATTTCCAAGGAGTCATCGTTTCATCTAGAGGACTCAACCACACATACTTTTCTTGCATGCTATATCTTGAGGACTTGCCCTATACACTCACCAATGAAGACTTGCCCATGGGACTCACCTTGCAAAAGAGAGTCGCGTTTGAGGCTGAGAGCCATGTGGTAGCCTACCAGCCTAGCCATATCTGCTACAATGTGTAATGGGTTATAATGAATATTTTACTTTTTGCTTTTTTGATATACAATTTTCTGTAGCTCTTTAAACTCTATAAATAAATGATGTGAATTTGACTTAAATTCTTCTTGCATTTAGACATTATCAATAAGAATCATTTTTTATACTGAAATAGTTCAGTTTTAGGTTTTCTTATTAGTAACATAAAGTGGAAGATTGTTCACCAGTTTTTTTTTGCTTTTATTTTCCGTTTCCTTTTCTGTGTAGTTTTTCCCTTTCTCAAAATTGGACAAGCTCTTTTGCTGGTTTTTTGGGATTGAATGATTTATTGCTGAGAAGATCTTTTGCAGGTTTTTATGGGTGTGATTATTTAACCATGCTTGCTTTGGTAGGTACCTTCAGAGGTCACTCTCTTATGTTTACAAAAACAAAGGCGAATACTATTTCTTTAACACTTACTTCTTTGGAAAACTTGAGCAGGCATTGTCATCAAAGGTAAGCCTCATTGTTGAAGTTTTTAAAGAAATTAGAGTTTCTTTCATATTAAGCTCAAAAGTGTTGATGCCATTGTAAAAACTTTGTTAGATTTATTCCGTATTTTTAGGTGCTCATCTAAATTCTGTCACATAATTCCTAGGGTGATAGATCTTTACAGTTCTCCAAATTGAGACGGTGGTGGAAAGGGATAAATATATTTGAGAAGGCATATATTTTTTTGCCAATCCATAAAGAGTAAGCTGCCTTTGATGTTCTATAAGTTAATTACACATACTGAATTATCTCCTAAAGCATGTCTACAGGAATGTGTTATTGTTTGCAGTTTAGCATATTAATGCATAATTTTATAGTAGATATCAAAACATTCATCTGCTTTGCTTTTGTGTGTGTTTATGTGGTGGGGGTGGGGGTTTATGGATGAATATATGGTATCTTGGTGATTGCACTATGTAAATGATTATGTTTCACACATAGCTTTAGTTTTTTTTACTTGCTGTTCATGTCAACTTACTTCAATAGTATGGCCTATGGCGCTTCTACTGCAGTTATGAAATTAGCTACTTTTAGAACTCAAACCCCCTATTAACTTTTTGTAGCCACAGTTCTAGCAGCAACAAAAGCTGCTGATAGTTTTAATATGAATGTACTGTATGTGCTGTAGAACTGGAAAGATATTTGAGTAGCATGAACTAGTAGGGAATATTTTAAGGTTGTTTGATTGTATAAAAGATGGAAGAATCATTTTCCAAGTGGGATGGTTGATTTAATCAGGAAAGTTTTCGGGAAGAGTAGTATGCCAAATTTGATATTAAAGGGCTTAATTGAAGTAACATCAATCCAGTTTTTTATATGATGAAGATGGTCAGATTATGTCCATAATAAATAGTAGGGATATGAATAATGATGATTGGGAAAGCTTAGGAGCCGCCGCTCTCTGCTTATAAGCAGTAACTTACTGAACTTTTTTTTTCAATTTGTTTTGCTATTTTTGAAGGTTGTTTGTATTTTAATTTAAAGGTCCTTCATTCATATGGGATGAGCATATTTGTTTTCTTTTTTACCGAATTTTCTGCACTAACAACTATATTCAAGAAGCTGGAATATTGACAGAAATAGTGAATAAAAAAAGATTACAATAACTTTTTACAAAAATAAACAATGTCAAGGGCTTTTTCTGGCAAGTGTTTTCTGATGGTCAAATTTCTGCACCTGAGACCAGCTGCAGTTTAACCTCTTTGCTTATCTTGAAGAATTGCCGGGGATCTTTCTCTCCTGCTCAGGATTCATCTTGGCCCCTCTAATTTCCCACAATTGGAGAACTTTGCATAGTCTTTCTTAGCACAAAATGTTTTGCAGAACATATAATATATTCCTACAAATTCTTAGGTTTCATAAGAACAACATTGAGATCCTTTTAATATGTGATTTGTTGGTTCTTTGGCTATTCTTAATTTTTTGTTCTTAAAGAAAATTTTTTTCCATCAACAAAAGAAGAGTACAAAAATAAAAGCCGAATACATGAAGAGATTACAATTAGGGAGACCGAGAAGATAAGCAGGTCAGCAAAGGCTAACGAGCTCAGTAATTGGCAAAGGCTTCCAACCACTCCGAAGCCAGGCACGGGCCATCCAGAGGAGTGAAAGAGCAATACACCACCAAAAAGCCAAATAACCGCCAGCACCGAAGCAAAAGTTCCAAATAAACACCACCAAAGGTTGCCAACAAACCACAGATCCAAAGTGGTGAGCCCGAGCCACATCATCGCCCAAGTAATACAGATTAAAACCATAGAGAGGCAACAGAAGACAAGTTGCCAACAAAGGAATAACGGAAACACCAAAACAGCAACCACCAAACAAACCAAAAGAAATAGCTATTTTTTGGATTTCCGCTTTCTACGTTTACCAACCCAAACATTTTCATCTTGCACAATCTCTTGCAGTTCAAAACATTCCACTTCCTCAACCACAGAATAGGGGTGTCAATTTTTGACCCGACCCGAAAAATCCGGGTTCGGGTCAACCTGTTTATGAAACGGGTCGGGTTCAGGTTCAGTAAACTGACCCGTTTTAAAAATTGTGTCGGGTTCGGGTTGACCCGGGAACCCAAAAACGACTCGAAAATGTCCCGGAAATGATCTCTGCCCGGCTGCCCGCGTCAACTTCCCGGTTGCCTGACGCGTCAACAAAAACGGGTCGGGTTCGGGTTGACCCGTTTAGAACCGGGTCAACTCGGGTTCGACCCGAATTGACACCCCTACCACAGAAGCGGAAGGGGAAGAGCACTCAAGCTAATCTATTTGCATTCTAACACTATCCCCCGAGCTGACGCCCACATGGGTAACCAAAGCATGTGGAGAAATTAAATTCACTGGGACTTCAACAAGTTGGCCAGACAACTGAATAGTAGGCATCACCGGGGTAAGAACCGAAGGGTCCACTTCGTAAGCAACCAGAGAACTAACCTGATCCACAGGCACAACAGTCAAGGCCAAATCAACCGAATTTAGAGGTGAAACAGTATGTGTCGAACCACTAGTCAATTCCTGCCCAACTTCCCTATTAACCTCACAGGCAACAATATCCTCCTTCGAACTTTCCACAACCATAGAAGTAGAAACACCCCTAGTTGACAGATCGGAATGTAAAACACCATCACTCAAGGCATTAAGATCACCCAAACTTACTAAGTTTGAAACAACATTACCATTTAGAGGAACAACCACAGCAGGAGACAGGGCTACAGACCCAAAAGGCAAAACTGCCTCACACACAGGAAGACTATTGTGTAAAATAACCTCATGAATAGGTAAATTACCTGCATAATCAACCTTAGGCAGCTCAGGTAAAACTTCCACACTAACCGCAGGAGGAACGGGATTAACATCTAAATGAGGATGCAAAATCAGGCAGTCAGCATTTGAATAACCCAAAGCTTTGCAATGAGAACAATAAAAAGGAAATTCTTCCATTTCCACCTGCTGAATATAACCCATCTTCTTAGAACCAAGCCACACTTGGTCCGGAAACCGCCTAGTAATATCTAACTCCACAAGAATGCGGGCGACCGAGGGCCTCGTTCCAAATGAAGTACCATTATCGATACGCAGGGGACGACCAAACAAAAGACTTGAGACCATGAAACACACGAGGAGAGAAAAGGTGCAGACTCAAATTTGGGAAAGAAACCCAGATTGGGATGACGGGGGATTCAACATTGATGTCAAAATGGGCTGTCCACTTAAATAACTTCATATAACAATTGTTAACGAAGTATGAACGCTACAATAGTATAGGTCATTCATTAACTTGATCAAAATGTTCTTAGAGTTAAGCACAGTAACAGAAAACTCTCCATTTAACTTAAGCTGGAAAAAAATTTCGAATAGAAAAGTGCCGGACGACGACCAGTAAATTTTCCAACCAACGCTTGGCTATTCTTAATATGGATCAACTTGATGCAGTACAAGTAACGCGAGTTTAGGGCAAATAAAACCATGCCAAGTAAAAGAAATCAAATTCGACTACTTTGGAGTTGATTAAGATTAGTTCTCAAGCTTTTGTGGACACATGTATTTTTATGGTTTCCCTTATTTTAACTTTAATTTATTTTACTGGTTCAATTATTTTCCATTGGATTGCATTAGATTTAAATTTAATTTTGAATATTCTTAAATTTAAAATTTGAATTGACATTGTTTTATTTTATACTTGTAGTCCCATATCTATAAATGGATTTTGATTCCTTGTAATTGAATAAACTCTTAATGATTGGATGAATGCTAAATATTTTGTGAGATCAATCATTCATTCTCCCTCTTGATCGAAGTTATGTTCATGGATTAGTCCAAGTTGTGTATTTGGAGTCCTTTTCTTTCCCTTCATAAATTTTGATATTAGAGGGAGATTTTATCTTTTCTTTTTTAATTTTTTTATCTTCTTTTATTGAATCATCAATTAAATGTTTAATTCCCTCACCCCATGTCCTTCTCTGCAAATCAAATATTGTTTGTTTGTTGTGCTACTACTTATTAGCATCAACAATTACGTCCTCCCCTTGTGTGCTTCTTCCATATATTGCAGTATTCTTCTCCCAACCTCATCGATCTTACATTACTTAATGCTTTTTATCCTCACATTTGCATGACAATTTGTGTTGGATATCTTGATTTCTTCCTCATCATATTGCCTACTCTCTCAATATTGTAAGCCAGTTAATCATTAGACCTTGTTCTCCATGTATTGCATTTCACATGTGATACCTCAGAATCTAAATTGGAAATTTTTTTAATCTTTTAATAAACAACAACCAGTGCTATTTAATATTATCTATCAGTAATAAAAAAAAATAGATTGTATAATTCAAAATGTTAATGTACACATTTGTATTCATTATAAAAAATTATATATACTACCCAGAATCTACACAATCATATCATAACTACTCTGTCTTGAATACAAAAGAATAACTATAACAAAAAGAAACAGAACCTGAAGAATCCTGACCAGCCTCACATTCCAAATCCCTTGCCCTGACCTGAAATCATTTATCACATTTAATGAGCTAAAAAGCCCAGTAGGTCACCATAATCTACAACTGAATGTAAAATACGACAAATGAGCAATATGCATGTCAACAATCAAATCATAGTAGTTAAATTCATATGATCGTTGAATCAGTGCAGAAATAGTAAAATTTACATGCAGTAGTAGTAAACTCTATAAACAGTACATAAGCCAGTAAAACAGTAAACCAGTACTAGTGTAAAATATCTAAAGCAATCGTCGTATTTGTAATACCAATCAGAACAGAAACTGTATAAAGCATCAAATCAAAACATCAGTAAAGACTGTTGAAATCGAATCAATGCAGTAAAATTATATCGGAATGTACACATGTTATCTTGTTATTCTATATCATGTGCTCAATATATCACATGCTTAGTATTAGTATTTAAATTGATAACAATAATAATCCAGTGCAAGGAGCAGTAAAATAATGCGATAACAATAAATCTGTGCAGTAATAATAAATTCGTACAATAATAAGAATAATGATTTAAGAACATGCGTTTTAGTAGTCACTCTAAACAAGTAAGAAATTCTGTATATCATGGTATTTTTCAGTATTGTATTAGTGTCAATAAACTGTTGGTTCAGTAAATAGAGTCGTTACTCTTTGCCCTTCGATACAGTAATCATCTCCTTATAACTCACAATCAATATCACAGGAAT